TGTCACCAAAGCGACCATCGATCAAAATCGGTGGTTCTAGTCTAACATTCATGATGATGTTAGGGACGTGGTTACCAACTGTCCAGTTTGTGCTGCCGATCGTGCACCTATCCATGGGCCAAATACGATAGTCCCGACGGAAGTAGAGCGTCCTTTCCAGTGGGTCAGTATGGACACGACAGATATTGACGTGCCACTTGGCCTCAATCGCTGTAAGTCTTCCATTCTCTTAGTGCTAATCGTCCACTTCTCGAAATACATCGAAGTCTATCCCTGCAAAACACGTAAGGCCTCAGAAATAGCTACGTACATTGACCGATTCCTCAATACCCATCTAGATACAGAAGAGATTCTGACCGACAATGGGTACGAATGACTCCGAATTCAAAGCCGAGGTACAGGAATTACTGATGCGTCGTGGTGTCACTCTCTGACACACCGCTCCGCATGTCTCTCAGTCCAATGGGCGAGCCGAGAACGCGAACCGCATGATTAAAACCGCTCTTCGCAGGAACTTAGCGGCCAATGACGCGCGCCCTTGGCCTGAGATAGTATATGAAATCACCGGGATCCATCGAGCGACCCTTCATGAGTCCATCGGATTCACCCCCTTTCAGCTTCGAACCAATAGTATCCCATGTGTCGATAATCGGAGTGCCTCAGAAAATGTCGAAAAACGGGGAAGGGGCACACGGTCGACCCTCAAGGCCAAGGCTAAACGGTATGTGGAATTAATGGAAAAGGCTATCCCTAGGCTAGCCCGAAAAACGCAGAAGATGACCGAACTGGCCCACGGTAGGCAGGTTCGTAGTTACGAGGCAGGGAGTGGGAATGCAGACCCACAACACCATTATACTACGAATCTCCTTCGGCGGTGACCACGGCCTAGGCCGTGACCCCGCGGCCGATAGGGAGGCCATTTCGAATATTATCGAACGGGGGTTGGTGACGCATAAGCGTTCCTAGGCCCATGAACCAGAAAAACGAAAAAATAATAATTTTCGGGGGGGGTCGATTTTATTCCCCTATGAGGGTGAACACCCCCCCC